TTTTTTTTTTGGGGGGGGGGGGGGGCATCACACATTACGAGCCGTCGGCCTTCATACGTTGACGCCGCAACTTCTTCAGTGCATTTATTCTTTTCTTGTCAATAAAAAGACATTTACAAAGACAGAAATGCTTTGTCGCCACAGTATCTTAAATATGAGGTCAGACTGCTTCCAAAGTCAACGCGAAACATTGCGAACCTTTTCCTTCTTCGGGGAGCCCATTTCTGAGGTCTCGCGCACGGCACAAACCAGCAATCAATCGGATGGGAATGCAATTTGTGCTCAGCAAACGGAGCGCCAGAGAGCAGGGGGGCGGAAGGGGGGGGGGGCACGATGATGTTAGGAGCGCAAATTTTCTGCGCAGTCGGGCGCCATCACGGCCACAACTTGTGAAAACAATTGCGTCTTTGTATTTTCTCACCCTCCAGAGACAAGTTGCTCACCAAGCGCTCCTGTCGAGTGACCGCGGCTCCTCATCCGACAGCCGGGCGGGCAAAGGGCAACGCCGATCTTGGGGGCGTGGCCAAAGCGGCACAGCAGACAGCGACCGCGTGGGCGATTTTGACATCCGCGAAAGCCGCTCCGGACGCAAGCAATCGCCGTGACAAACGTGCATTTGGCCCACTCGTCTGAACGCGGCGTTCAAATTTCGATCGCGCAGGTGGAATCGGAATTCGGCAGCGAAATTCGCCCGCTTCGATCCATCTCAGGGGGCGGGCGTTTTTGCCGTCGGCTCCAAATGACGTCACGGCGCCAACGTCGCGCGACCAAAAAAGGCAAACGGGTGAGCCGCGACTGGTCTTTGCCCGAACCTGCCACGTCACGGAGATGTCATCGCCAGCCGACGGCAAGTGGCAAGATGGCCGCCCCCTCAAACGGATCCACCACCGGGGTGTACAACCGTTCTAGAATTTGTTTGTCTTCTACCACTGATCACTTTAGCTCCGCTTGATACTTTGCGCATTGTCTCCCAGTTGTCACCGGGTGGTACCGCCGCACTCCGGGTCACTTCCATGACGGAATGTCCCGCCATCGTGATTTGTCACGTCCTTGTTTATGACGACACGAATGCAGCGTGTCGTACCGGAGACAAATTCCTTGCGTGTTCGACATACTTGGCCAAGAAAGATGATTCGGATTCGGATTCTGCGCCCAACCATCACGCAGCAAAGTGGGGGCGCACGGAAGGAAACGTGCGCCCTGAATAACTGCTGGGGAAGGAAAGCAAGTCGCTGGAGAAGGGGCGCTCCTTTTCCCGAAGCGCACATCCAAGTTGTTCGTGGGGGGGGAAACAAAGAATTGGACACCCGGTTTTGTGTTTCCGATGCACATTCTGCCCGTTTTGTGTCCACAACTTGTTTTATTTTGGAGGTGGCCCAATCCCAGGAGGAAACGACGAGTCGGTCAAAACGCCGAGTGCGCTCGGATCGGCCGGCGAGCGTTCCCCGATCAAAATGGCCACGGAAAATCCCTTCGGGGTGGCGGCGCCTTCCTTCCCGACTCCAAGGGATGTTGGAATTCCCCTTTTTGACTGCCGCCAAAGCCTTTGAACGCGCGACGCTCGCTCCGAGATCAAGAACCGGGCCGGGCCCGCCCGCTCAGGCGTCCGCGAGAGGCGGCGGCGGCGCTTCTTTGGAGTGGTCGTTGTACATGAAGGTGTGCTCCATGTTGAAGTCGGGCGGCAGACGGTCCTTGTGGAGCTCCACGTGCACCGCCATCGTCTTGAGCGTGGAGCGGTAGAGGCCGCAGACGGTGCAGCGGTACATGAGGGCGCCGGCGTGCGTCTTCAGGTGGCAGATGATGGTGGAGCGGCCTCGGAAGAAGCGCAGGCACACCTTGCACTGGTACGGCTTCTCGCCCGTGTGGATGCGCACGTGGTACGTGAACTCCCCCGAGTGCGCGAAGCGCTTGCCGCAGTAGCGACAGCGGTACCACTTCCCGCGCGGGTCCCGGCCCGCGCCCCCGTCGGCCGGAGCGCGCGCGGGCCCCGGGAAAAACGTCGGCGGCCAGCCGGGGCTCGCTCCGCTCCCCGGGCCGAAAGCGAAAGCCGCGAGCTCCTGCGGCGAGGGAGACGAGGGCGAGGGATCCGGAGGCCGCCGGGCCTTCCGCTTGCCCGAGCGGAAGGGAGCCCCTCCCGCCTCTTCGCCCCCTCCGGAGGACCGGGACGCGCGCCGGCCGAGGCGGCGCAGGAGGGCGAAGGAGGAGGGCGGCGCCGAGCGGTCGAGCTCCTCGCTTCCCGAAAGGTTCTCCCCCCCGACCGTGACCACCCGGACGTCCCCGGCGTCCCGGCCGTGCGCGGCCGCGTGCGCCTCCAGCAGGGGGCGGTCGGCGAAGCAGCGGCCGCAGCGCGGGCAGGTGAAAACGGGCAGCAGCAGGTGGGCGAGGGCGTGCCACAGCAGGGAGCACAGAGAGCGCCGGGGGAGCCGACAAACGCCGCAGCTCAGGCTTCGGGGGCACACGTGACTCAGGACGTGCTCCCTCACTGCCTGCGGGCACAAAGAAAAATCGCATGACGCCGGTTGCCGCGTCGGTCTCGGGACAAAGAGCGCGCAGGCGGAGTTGGCGCGGTGGAAGAATTGCGCCCGCCATGACGCCGGTTGCCGCGTCGGTCTCGGGACAAAGGGCGCGCGGTGGAGGAATTGCACCCGTGACCGAAAGAGGGTTGCGTTGAAGAAAAAAAAAAACATCCTGGCCTGAGCAGTTTTTGAAGCCCTGGGTCAAATGTGGACGAAAAGTTCCACACATGGCCCATTCAGTGATTCGATCGAGTACGTGCCAAAAAACATTCTTCCCACTGAATACAAACCAAGAATGGGAGGTTGTTCCACGCGCTCCAACTGCATTGTTTGGACAACGCAGCTGGAGGCGGGCACAGCATCCCCGTCACAATTTGGCGGTCGCAAATGACTTCATGGCCAGACTTTGGATTTTTGGGCCATCCTTTAGGAAGCGGCAGCGGCAGAACATCGCTCGCTCGTGTCTCCAAATTCTGGCCACCAAAAAAAAAGTTGATCGATATGGAAAATTGTGAGCGGTCATTGCGTTCTGCGTTCCGATTTGCTCACGGAGAACCCGTTCTCAAATACGCCCCAAGACGGCACGGCTCTTGAGAAGAATCTTCTGGCCCGGCATCAACAAGTCCCCCCGCATGATTGCACTTGAGTGGGAAAACGAAGAAAGACACCCAAAGGCCTGCCGTTCATATCATCCAAAATATCGTGACTTTTGTTTTCATATTTTCAGACCGAGTGTCGCATTTTTCTCTGGCCGCGCTACGCCCGCGTCTGGAGCCGACCAAGTGCCGTCGGTCGGCGATCAACTCTCCCCAAACATATTTGACGTGGGCCCCTTCAGGCCGGGGCTCCGGCGAAGGGTCCGCCTCCTCTGCTGACGGACGGGACAGAGATGGGACAGAAGCGCTTTCAAAGGACGAGGGCGGACGGGTCCCCGGGTCGCAGACGGAGGACGCACCGGCAAAATAGGCTCGGGTGGCCATCTCTGTGCATTGGGCACGGATTGACGGACCCCCGGTGACAGAACGCCCACCTCTGGAACTGGGACATTTCCAAAGCTTTTTCGGAGGGGTGGCAATTAGCACGTCGACGAGGTGCGGGGTTCAATTCCGACTGCGACCTCCCTGTGCCGAGTTTGCGCGTTCTCCCCGGGCCCGCGCGGCTTTTCTCCGGGTACTCCGCTTTCCTCCCGCATTCCCCAAAACATGCGCGGCGGGCTGATTGAACGCTCGAAAATTGTCCCCAGGTGCGAACGGTCGTTCGTCCGCGTGTGCCCTGCGAGGGGCTCGCAACCGGTTCAGGGCGTCCCCGCCTACGGCCCAATGACAGCTGGGATCGGCTGCGGCACCCCCCGACCCCCTCGCGAGGAGAAAGCGGATTGGAAAATGGATGGATGAAACCTTGAAGTCCTTGCTGAGGTCTTGGGCGCACACGGCACACCGCGGCTCGCGGCCTCGGCGGAGCGGAGCCAAGTAGCGAGCCGAGCCGCTGCGCCGCTGGTGGCGCAGGAGCTTCTTTTGGCTGCAGAAGTCCAGGTGGCACATGTCGCAGGAGAAAAGGCGCACGCCCGCGCGGGCGAGCGAGCGGGAGACCCCGGCGGCGGCGCCGTCCGGGAACGCGGCGCCGCAAAGATGGCAGTTGGCGGCCGGGTCCGCGGGCAGGGGGGCCGCGCAGGCTTCGCACGTCGGCGCGCCTCCCGGAACCTGCGCGGGAAAACAAAACCATCACAAGCGGCGGCGGTCACGCCAACGGGGGCCAGGCGGCGCTCGTTTTGGGGCTTAGGTTCCGGACCGCGCCGCCATCGACCCAATTTGCGTTTCGGCAATCGAAATGTCTTTTTTTGGATTTCAATACCTTATTTTCCGGAAGATGCGTCCCTTCTGAGTGGAAGTCGCGCCAGCCAGAAAATGCCTGATAAACAAAAAACATATCCAAGTGGCATTTTGGGGGCAAATGTATTTGATCAAATCCAACACCGAGAACAGACGTGTGGTCTTGAAAGGCAAAGAACAAATGAAGAACAACAGGCTGAAGACGTGGACGCTACGCTAACGTCCAAAGAACGAACCGAGAACGCGGCTGGTATGCTCAGACCACGCCCGTCACCCAGCGGGCAGACAGTAGGGGGCGCGCTCATGGGAAGGTTTTGCCGCAAATTGGCGATCGATCAGATCCGCGTGTTGGCAACAAGACGCGTCCGCGGTCAGTGGCGCGCGCTCCTTTTCGACTGCCACAACGTCACATATTCCGAGTTATTCCGACGACGACGGCAGAAAGAACACGTTTGGCAAACCATCGGTGGCGCTCGCTCACTCCAATGAAATCTTCCTCCTCGGTGTCACTTTGAAAGAATCCGTCAACTCGGGAGGTAGAAAATGCGGCGCTTCCTCCTCGACGCGGCTTCCGTCCGAGTCGACTTGTTCGGATCAGTTGCCGCCAACGTGCAAAGTCGCAACGCGGTCCTCGAGCGCCCTCTTGCGGCCCGACGTGAAAAGAACGCGTCAAATGACAGAACGCGTCCATCCTTTCATCCCAAAGTCGCTCCAGAGTACAAATGGCGCCCCCGGCCCAACTGCCGTTTAGAAAAGTGCCCAATCAATTTCCTCCCCTTCACTTGATAGACACAAACAAAAAAAGAGTTTGGAAACGCCTCTCGCAGTAATGACACGGACCAGCGTTTTTGTCTTTGAGCCGACAAGAAGTTGAGATCTCGAGACGACCTCCCGAAAAATGAGCGATGCAAATATTACCTGGCCGCCCGATTGGCTCCCATGGCCGTTTTCCACGCAGACGAAGTCGTCTTCGTCCTCGTCCTCGTCCTCGTCCTCGTCGTCGTCGTCGTCATCCTCATCTCCCTCCACCGCGAAGTTATCGTCATCGCTCAGTTGGATGATGTCGCCGGTGGCCAGTCGCCCCCAACGCTCCTCCTCCGCGCGTCGAGTCGCGCCGTCGCACGGCGGATGGCGCCGTTCCTCGTTCCCCCGCGAAGCCGTCAAGTCTTCCGCGCCGCCGGCCGAGGGCGAGGGGCTCCCCGAGCCCAGCCGCGCCGGCGATTCAGATGGCTCAGAGTCGCCGGCCTTCCGGGGAAGCGCCTCCTCCCCCGTCCGCTCTCGGTCGGTTCGAAGCTCGGGGCCCGCGGGCGGCGCCTCCCTGCTCCAAAGGCGGCGTCCCGCGCTCTCTGCGACAATTTGCCCGTAGCCCGCAAGGGACTGGATGTCTTCTATCTTCAAGTCCGCGGACGCGGCCCCGGCAGGGGAGAGGCGGCCCGCCGCGTCGGCTCGCGCGTGAGGC